GGCACGGGGTTTGAACGAGCGGGGATTTAAAAATGGCGGCGCCCCACTTATGCAAATGAAGCCCAGGAAATTCAAATCCCAGGCTTCATTTGCAATTGCGGTATGCCTACATTACCCCGCTAGTTCGAACTAGCGGGGTAGTGCAGACATACCCTCAGGGACAAAGTCTGGCCCTGTGCTCTTGGACAGTCTTCTTTCACCTCCATTTTTGGAGAGGTGTTTCTAGCATTTTCATCATGTTCTGACCTAACATGCCTGTCCTTACCCAGGATAAGACTTTTCAGATGTCATTTTCTTATGGCTTCTGTAATGAATAGGAATAAACCATAAATCCTCCTCCCCCTTTTTATGTAAGCTAATAGACATCCCATATACTAAAAGCACTATTTGTTTTTAGCTTGAAATGTTAAATTTAGATTGGCATATTCACCTGTAGCAGCAAGAGCATGTCTGAGTCCTGCAGCAACATTTACCACCTTCTCTGTGAGGGACTATTCAAACATAAGAGAAAAAACATATTTGCAATTTGCATTTTATACCTCTCAGAAGGAAACATATTTGAACAAATGAAAGAAAATGGTATCATATTTACAGACTGCATGTCACAAAGTTCATCAAAAAAGATATTCATTTAAAAATATATTTCAGCCTCATTTCAATAATATCTTGGGAATTTCTTAAGAAAACCAAGCAAAGCTTCCAGAAGTGCAATAGTACAGCAGCACAGCAGATCAACACCTGAAATCAAAGCACTCACATGAAGGAAGAAATCTCAGAAATGTGTAATTAAGATGCAAACATACACAAGTTTCTGTTCCCCCTTTTATCAGACGGGATGTTCAGTAACAAAAACCAATAAAAAGCAGCCACAATGTAAATAATTCACTGTTTCTAACATACTATGAGGATAGGCAATTTAATAATTTGGGCAAAGCTGGCAGCACATTTCCATTATAAGACCCCATCTTTACGTATGATCACTGAATTAAACTGTATTATAACACTTATGTACAAAGGGACCAAATTAAAGTTGCATGGGGCACCTTAATTCTCTCATTTCGTAATCTGGGAGCTTGATTTTGCAAATTTAACATTCTTTTAACATAGTTTTGTGGGTGTAGTCTCAGAGGGGTAGTTGTATTAATCTAGAAGGTGTCACAGGACTCCTCATTGTTTTTGCAGATACAGACTAATAGATTTATTTGGGCATAAACTTTCATGGGTAAAAAACAGTTGTATGTATTAAAAATGTATACGCTTGGGCTGATGTTGAGACTGAAATAGGAGACAGACTGTCAAAAGCCAGGTTGATGTCATGGTAGAGGTCTACTGCAGACCACCTAACAAGGAAGGAAAGGTAGGTGAAGCTTTTTTTGAACAATTAACAAAATCATTCAAAGTACAAGACTTAGTGGGAAGGAGGTCCGCATCTATCCAGACACCTGTTGAGAAAGTAACACAGCAGGGCACAGATTATCCAATAAGTTCTTGGAGACCATTTCTTATTTCAGAAAATGGAAATAGCTACTAGGTTCTAGATTTGATTTTGACAAATAAGGAGGAACTGATTGAGAATTTGAAAATGGAAGGCAGCATATGTTTTGTTAGTCTATAAAGTGCTACCAGACTATTTGTTGTTGTTTTTTCTAACAGACTAACTCAGCTACCACCTAATGCTCATGAAATGAAAGAGTTTGTGATTCTAAGGAATGGTAGGAGAGAGAACAGTAAAACAAAAACAATGGATTTCAAGAAGGCAGACTTTAGAAACTCAAGGAATTTGTGGGTAAGGTCCCAGGGGAAGCAAGACTAAGAAGCAAAAAAACTGAAAACATTTGGCAGTTTTTCAAAGAGATATTACTTAAGGGCACAAGAGCAAACTATTCCACTGCATAGGAAGGATAGGATGTATGGCATAAGACCACCCTGGCTTAACCAAGGGCTTAATCCAAGATTCCCTGAAATCAGTAGTCTTTCCACTGATTTTAGTGAGATTTATATGGGGTGCTGAAAACAGTACACAGGACCAGATCTGTAGCAGACAACTCTGTTGAGTCTTTACCTCAATCTTTAGTGGGATCAAGCTTCCTCCTGAAGTTTGAGGGACTCCTAGTTGTCCAAAAGAGTTAGACCCACAGGATAAAACTTGGCCATTTCCTGTAACATAATACAGACTTGTTAGAGTAGTGTAACTCTTAACATTATACCTTAGGGTACACATATGGTTAAGAGCAACATACCATAACACATCATTAAAACAATTATATGAAAGATACTACAGCACAGCATATAAAGAATTGAAATATTCCTTTTTGAAAAGTTCAAGAGCTTGTGTTCTAATATACACCATGTTCAGG